ATAATGTTAACTCCGAAAAAATTACTCTTCTATTTTTCCTGTGTATCCACATCATGGTAAAACAGTTTAAACCCCACCCCAGTGCTGTGAGCCTTGCTGCCCTTTCACTTGGTCTCTTGGATAAAGTATCTACCTTCCTTCTCTGCATCATGTCAGCCATCTCTCTACCTTTGCTTGTCATTGTCCCCACATTCAGAATTGCCAGTCAGTCCTACACTCTTTGACTTTCCTCTTCTCCCTCTGTCTCATGAAACATTTCCTTCCTTGTGGTCTTCGACTAACAGTAGCACAATTTATGCTGGCACACTGTTTGTCAACAGCACCTGTGGTGGTCTTTGTTAACCCAGGCTTTGACCGATCTGGTATGGTCTCACTTAGAAAAACTTGTATTAGTTTTGGCAAAGTGTTTTATGTTTGATGCCCTTCGTGATACAACCCTCACCCATTACTCAGGCTTGAGACAGGCACACAAGAGGTACACTGGCTTGTGCTTTCTAGTGGCTAATTTGACCAAGGCAGAGTACATGCATGAAATAAAGAGGTGAAGAGAGTTCAGGCAGAATGGACTGAATGGAGAAAAGCTTCAGGATGTAAAAAGGGTAGCAACTAAAGCCAAAGAAAGCCCCATACTTCAGTGATAAGAGTTCCCATATAGGCTCATCTTGGTCACATGACTGTTGTCCAACACAAGCTTGTCTCCACAAGCAAAGTTCAAGTCACTGAGTCTAGAATCAATTCTTTATTGCACACAGTAGATTTTGCCAGTACAGGTATGGAGTTTTGTGCTTTTATTTTTTTAATAAGTTGTGCTGTGTGTCATCCATTATTCAAAGAGAAGGCTTTGAGATGAAACATGTTTTGAAGTGGTAGAAAGCAAACAGTTCATACCATCGTTTTGAAAAGAAACCCTGCAAAATGCCATATTTGTCAGGATCTGTGTTTATTGCCGACATGTTTTTAGCTTGTTTGATCAGATGAGTCTGATTTAAGTGCTTTCATTCTTCCAGTGTGTGCCAGTATTTACTTGTCCCAGCTGAATTTCTACTCCCACCTGTTCCTCGTTGTCTTTTCCTCAGATGTTTCCAGTTTATAATTAGTGTTCCTTCACCTTTTGTGCACTTTTGGTTCCTCTGTTCTGCATTGCACTGTTTACTGACAGTCGTGGTTTCCTCCCTGCTGTGCCTCTTTGAGTTCTAGTATTGCATTTAATATTGAAAGTAGTTTTGTTTTGCAGTACGTCTTTAAATTAAATAAAGCAGTTTGAGGTTTTTAATATCATCATATTCTGCCTGCATGCTGGGTTCAAACTCTACCAACCATGACAATATTTCCTTCATACAAGCTGGAGGGCCAACACTCCAGTCTTTTGAAAGCAAAGAAAAAATATCACATTTTTTTTAACCAACAAAGTCCATGCTCAATAATCCAGGTATACAATCCAACAAACTGTCCAGATGACCTGACTGAAAATTGTAGTATCACATTTTTTATTTTAGATGATTTCAAAGCAATGATGGGACTTCAATATTTGTGATAAATATTTTATTGATCTTAAGGCAGAGGAATTCTGGAGTTACAGAAGCTTGTGGACATGTCCCCCACCCCCCCAAAAAACAAACAAACAAAAACAAACAAACAAAAAAAAAACCAACTACGCACACAGGATCTAAATGGATATTGAAAAATATGGGAAATTAAAATTGAAGCTCAAACAAATGATGTTTTTGAAGTAAGGAAGGAACTAAACAGTGATGTCTCAAGGCATGAAGGATTTCTTAAACCAGTCAGGACAGCAGCTAAGCTTATCAGTCCTTCTTAGATGGTGTGGAGCCTCTGCAACAGGAGCATGATTCATCAGGCCTCTTGATGCAAATGTAGTTTTTGGCTTGGACACTGTCACCCAGTCTGTCCAAAGTCACTTTGAGGGGCTGCTGATCAAGAAGGAGGTGATCTAAGGGGTTAAAATATAAATGTCAGCAAAACATTTTCATTGTCATTCAAAGTTTGCAGATGACACAGCAGTGGTGGGATGCATCACAAACAATGAGTCCAGCTACAGACAGGAAGTGGAACACCTGGAGAGCTGGTGCAGGAAGAACAACCTTCACATCAATGTGAAGATGAAGGAGATGGTTGTGCACATCAGACAAAACAAAAACACACCTTAAACTTCTCTGAACATAGCAGGATCTGCAGTGGAAGTGGTCTCCAGCTACAAGTACTTGGGTGTGCACCTGAACGACAACCTCATCTGGGGCAACAACACCACCAGCCTGATCAAGAAAGCACATCAGAGACTCTACTTCCTCTGGTGGCTGAGGCGAGCTGGTCTGGGAAGCTCAGTCCTCACCTCCTTCCACAGGTGTGCAGTGAAGAGCATCCTGTGCTCCCAGGACCTTGTCGCTTTGATTAAAAAAAATCTTATCAATAGAGTTGAACGCCCACGATCCCAAATCCATAATCTTCTTAATTTATGTTCGGGAGATGAGACCCAGGCGCTTCAGACAGACAGAGAGCAGAGCAGGAAGAAGGAAAAAAAACAGGGGAGGAGAAATTGAAGCTGCCACCTCGATCAGAGCCTGGGAGGAAAAAAACTTGAACAACTTCTAGTCTTTTGAAGCTAAAAACCCAAGTCACACAATAGTACACCTCTTTGTGTATCATCCCACATCTCTTGTTTCCCCTGCTGATACACACCATAAGGAAATGTCCTTTTTTGCTTGAAATACACAAGCCTCACACTTCCTGTAAAGTAAACACCTGCTGTACTTTCCATGTATGTACCCAATAAAGGGTCTTATTGCTAACATCTGTTGAAGCTTCCCTTCCAGATTTGGTGGTAAGAAACTTGCATAGAACTCATATCATGGGGAACAGAATGATATTCTCCTGCTCTTTACTGCCTAAGCAAACAAAATTCAACTTCAACAGTTTAGAAGTAAATCATTCCCTTACCTAGCAGACACAGGCACTTTGACCGCATTGATTCAGATTCCTCCTTTGGGCAAAAGTCAAGTCATCCCACAGCGCATGGAAGTCACACATTGTGATATGCACTGCCCCATCAGCATCCATCCGGCCTACAGTTAAAGTGCAGAAGCAGAATTGAGTTGATAGAATAACTGATGTGAAAAATCTGTGAGGTTTGTGCATTTTACTCCAAATTCCTACCTGTGAGAACATACGGTTGTTCTCCAACGTTCAGAGTAGCTCCACACGCTCCAACAGAAGAAGAAGTGTAGACCGCATCAAAATGCCTACTAGAGCCTTTGAACAACTGAGTCAAACAAAAAACAAAATTCCATATACAAGTTGATACAATGAAAAAATTCAAAAGCGGTTTATCTCATACCTTAGTCACTTGGACGTCATATCTGACACTCTTCATTGGGCCATTCCCAGTGTCAACCAGACGCCTTCCCCTGACCGTTGCCCTGAAAACTGCACAAAAAGATAAAATAAAAATCCAAAAATGAAGTTACATTAACAGTGTTAGCATGCTGGAGAGAGCAGAAACATGTTTCCAAAGTTTATATTACAGAACCTTGCATGTGCCAGGAAGATGGAAGCAGCAAGAGTTTCATCAGCTGCAATTAAAGAATGTGTGCTGCCCAATTAGCAGACATACGACGAATGAATTCAGTAATCCTTGACCAGATGAAGTAAACCACCACCCCCATTCAGTCTGCCTTTGAATATAGATGCTGGCATGCAAATCAACCACTTTTACATTTTGAAAATATCTGTTCAGGTAGAACTCAAATGCTGACCAGATGTTTTGCAAATTGCAGTTCAGCCATTGCCCTTCAAGATAACAACTGTTTGTAAGGGACTGTTGACCCTTTATTAGCCTAAATACCTGCAGTGAAATTGTGTCCAGATAAAGCAGGTGTGTCCAACTAAAACAAGACCAGTCACATTGCAGAGGTCATTGTGTAGGAAGGGAGAGATAAACCTTGAAAAACAGTGATTTTGTTCTGTTGCAATAAAGCAAATTGTTATTAAGTCATAACCATTAAGACAATCTTAAAAGTTTGGTTTCACTCCTATTCTTCAAGAGCTTAGATTATTTGAAGTAGATTTCTTTAGATATGAACATATTCTTACTTGTAACTAATCAGAGATAGTTCAAGCCACCACACTTATGCACTGTCCACAGTTGTTCCAAACCACAAGACTCATGTTGTGATTCCCTTTTGCCAAATACCATCATTTTGATTAAAGCAAATTTAAGGGCCCTTGACCCCATCATTTACAGAACTGGAAACTGAGATGACCATCTACATTTCCAGGTAGTTAAACACATTTTCTCCCTAATATTCTCATAACCAAAGTGACACAGTTCTGGTGTACAATTTTTGGTTTTGACAAACGTTTAACGTCTGTGCTGTGAAAAAGTTCAGTTTTCTGTCAAAGCATTGCCATTTTAATTTATAAATGTTTGCACAACCTAATGAATGCTACATTTATCCCACAAGTCAGGTTTTACCAGATCTTAATTAAAACCAGTCAAATGATTGACTTAAACTGGATTTTTAATAATATTATTATTAATAATAATAATAATAATAATAATAATAAAACACCCTGAAAAAAAAATTCTAAGATTAAATCTGAAATCTTAAAGTTTATCTAAAGGTTCAGCTCTGCTCCAAATGTGTCCTCTCCATACCTTGACTTTCAAACTTTGATGAAACATCTAAAAAACTCATTCACTTCTGACTCTAGCAGGAAATTTAAAACAACTGATTTACATAAAGCTTCAAAACTCCAGATAATCTGTCTCCAAATAAATCTGAGCATTTCAGGCTTTTCCAGAGAATATTTCAAGATATTTCAATATTTCTACACATTCAATTCAAGTCCACCCAGCACTAGCCTAAATGCTTGACTCTAGGACTTAGTTGACTCAAATCAAAGTTTGAATATTACACTGAGAAATAGTGTCATTGTTAAACTCAATGTTAGAAATAAAGTCTTTACATCCTTTAGAGAAAAAAACAAACAGAGACCAATCATGTTTCACATTAACATGCTGAAAATGATCCTTTACACATTTATCCATGTGCAAGACATGCATTTCACATGGAATTTATCAGTTTTTCATTGGTCAAAATGTGTTTTTACTGTAAGGAAATACCGGCAAAAGTTAAACATGAGGTGAAAACTTCTAAAAACTGGACATTTTTAAATGTAGTAAGTTACTGAAATTAAACATTCATAGCCAGCAGAATTCAGATATGAGTTTTTATTTGTTTACAAGAAAATCCAGTTATCAAAATGAAATAGAGGGTTGTAAAAGAAAATGTACTCCTCTTTTGAATAATAAAAGTAAGAGCCCCCCTACCCCCACACTGTCCCAAATACAAATCAGCCAAAGGAAGATTTCATTGCATATGGGAGTGTAAAATTATAGAAAGTTTGGCAGGCAGCTCCGCTATAGAGCAGACACTTCTCCCTTGTCCAGTGCTGTGTCTCCTGGGGCTTATACCCGGGCACCTGGATACTCAAATACACTGTACAATTCCTACTGATGTTGACTAGAAAGCCCATAATGCTTGAATGGGTTGGTTGCAATGCCCCTTCAGTTCAGTTATGGAAAAATATAATTTCTGAAGTTATTGTATTAGATAGACTGAGATATCGTCTGAATGGGAAATCCCAGGCTTAAAAAAAAAATGGGAAAGAGTTCTGGATTGTCTCAAAATAAAAAGGCCAGTAATGTGAAATGGAAAGATGTATATCTTCAAGTATATATATGTGAATGGGTTGCTTTTTTTTCCCCAAGTAATTACTTTAATTTATGTACATACATCCTGATCTGATTTATCTGTATCTGTGCTGAGTTATGTTCCGCTATTGTTCTTTTTAAATAATTAAAATATCTACGTAGTAAACATAATATAAAAAAATAAATGTGGGGCATTTATAACTGGGCATATTTTAAAAAAATACACCAAGTAAAAAGGGACCTTCTTACTGATTCCATGTAAGAAAGCTAAACTTACCCATATCTGCTCTGCAGAAAACCTGCTCAGGTGGAATGTTCACGCAGGAGCAGGCTTCTGCCCCATCTTGCACTTGCCAAAGAAACAGGATGGCCAGAGAAAAGAAACAAGTTTTCATCATCAGAGTCATCTTTGGATGCTGAAGTAGGAGCCAGCTGTCAAAGTGTGATGCACAACTTGCACTTCCTTGGATCTGCTTTCCTCTCAAATGAAAGGTGGCTTTTATCCTCATCAAACAGCATCAGGCCACGCCCCCTCTTAGTCATCAGGCTGGGAGGTCAGGGCCTCCCAAATTTTCATAGGCAACAGCAAATTTGGTCACTCTGTCTGACATATGAAGGAAAGAACAATTAGTTTTAGTTTGGAACATCATCAGATGCAGCAGGCAGGACAGCGGTCTGAGTCACAGGGACTGTTTTCTCTGTTATCAACCAACCTGCTTCACTTTCAACTCATCTTTAATCAGACTCATTAATGCAGACAGCATAGTGTTAATATGCAGATGAAAGCAGAAAAGTGTTTCTGTAGCTTAAATTTTGAAGGTTTACATGTGCTACAAAGATTTTTTTAAAAGCAAGAGTTTCATCAAATACATATAAAGTGTGTGCTGCTCATTTCTAGAGCAGACATACAAGTAAGGCAGTCAGGGTCATTGACCAGCTGATCTAAAATCTCCTCTTTGCCTGTAGGCGCCTCATTCAGTCTGCCTCTGGATATGGACGGTGACATGCAAACAACCACTTTTACATTTTGAGAATAGCTGTTCAGGTGGAATTCACATTCTGACCAGTCACCCCTCCAGATGTTTTTGTAAATTCCAGTTCAGTCATTGTTTTTAAGGGCACAAAGACTGGTTGCAAAATAAGGGACTGTTGACCCTTCAAAAGCTCAAATACCTGCATTGACAATGTGTCCAGACAAGGCAGGTGTGTCCATTTAACACAAAACATTGCACAGTCATATTGCAGATAGTATTGTTTAAGAAGGGAGGGAAGAGATAACCCTTCAAAAGCATTTACCAGTAGTTAGTATCACAGCATGGAGTTGTTGCACCCAGAATGCAGGCAGGACTTGAGGCTTGAAAAAAAAAAAACATAACCTATGTATTAAATAAAAAATGCTGACGAGGCAGCCAAAAACCACTGCAAAAAAATAGAAAAAACAAACAAACCAGGACTTAGTACTGGAAACTCAGTGAAACACACCAAGGGTACTGTGAAGACATTTAAAATGTTTAATGCTGACATCAAACAAACTAAGGAGTAATAAGAAAAAAAAGCATTAATGAACCAAAGTTATAAACACCTGTTCTAGGGAAAAGCAAGAACAGGTGTTTGATCAGCTGGAGCAGAAGCAAGAAAACACTGGGGAGCTAGACAGAGAAAATCAATTTACACGGCGATGTCCCCGGTTGCTGAGGGATTTGAATAGTGATTGTTTGTAGTTTGAGATGAGTGTTTTTCTGGACCAGAATTGAACAAGGAATGCAAGCAAACCTTAATGTTTTGGGGGGGAAATATTTAAGTGGGTAGGAGTTACACTATAAGAACAGTTATTTTTTGTTTGTTTGACTGAGGCAACGCAGAATGATGGATCCTGGCGAGTGGAGGGAGTAATCCTATAACGGTGGAGCCTGGGCATGGCCAATGGTGGCCTTGGCCACATAGATCAATCTTTCTCCACCCATTCATTTGAAGGAACTGTACTTTTAAGCAATATAGAAACACTAACAATGTTCAACCAGGTCATTTGGACAGTTTCTTTTATTGTGCTGAGACGTTTCGCCCATCATCCAATGGATTTTATCAATTCCAGTCCATTAGATAGTTCAATAATTGAACACTGTTGTATTTTACACCTGGATTATTTAGCATGAATTTTGGTGCAATATAGAAACAGTTACAGATTATATACAGTAGTCCCTCGTTTATCGCGTGTGTTTGGGACCAGGCCCACCCGCGATGAGTGAAAAACCACGAAGTAGGGATACAGTAGTCCAAGTTCAGTTCAAGTTCAGTAAACTTTGTCATGATATGTACCAGGCTGTAATCATACTCATCACCTGTTACTCCCAATCTCCCTCCTTAAATAAACACTTTAAATTTAAATACTGTAACATTTTACATAAACACATTGTAGAGAAGAGAAGTGCAGCAGGACATGTCACGCAGCTTCAGCTCTGCAGCACGGAGCAGAAATGCACGTTTTGATCAATTACACTTCAACAACATGAACATACGAGTTCTAAAATAATTAAAAATAACTTTTAACACTTTTAGATTTTGTGATTATGATGATTTTTACGATGTGAAATACTTTGAATTTTAAGTTGGAAGACAAATTTGATCGGTGCATCTGGACAGCAAAGGGTTAACCCTTCACAAAGCTGCAGCAGCAGAAATGTGTGCGCAGCAGAGAAGGAAATCAGCGGATCGGCTGCAGGAGGGAGCTTTCCCTTGCACTTGTGGTTTGCACAAATGGTGCAAAATCATTTAAAATAATTATTTTTAATCAAACAATACATGGCTCATCCATCAGCCAGCCAATTGTGTCATGTCCAATCTTACTTTGAAAATCCATGATATAGCGAACCTGCGATAAATGAACCGCGAAGTAGCAAGGGATTACTGTACATATGTATA